ACTATGAGGCGATCCTGGGGAACCGCCACCATGAGGCGATCCTGGAGATCCACCACCATGAGGTGACCCCCCTCCACCAGATCCGGGGGATCCGCCACCAGGCGACCCCCCTCCGCCAGATCCAAGGCGTCCGCCACCACGAGGCGACCCCCTTCCATCATCGCTACCCGATCCGCCGTCACTGTCGACGTGGATCGCAGATCCCGCAGTGACGCCTCCGGATCCGGCTGTGCCAGCGACTTGTAGAGGCGGCGTTGAGAGGGATCTCCGCCGGGCTTCGGATCGGGATTGGGATAGAGCCCGCCGCGTGTCTTCCTCCAAGGCCTCCTCAGCGGTTCGAGCCTCCTCTGAATCCTCTGGACTCTCGTCGTCATCGTCGTCGTCGTCATCGTCCTCATCGCTTAGAGTGAAGGGATACGGGCCGGCAGACGGCGTACGCTTTGACGACGATCGGTTAGGAGGCCCTGAGCCGTCGGACCAGTCAGATTCCTCATCCTCATCGTCCTCCGAACTACCCAGTCCACACCCAGGGGGAATGACGCGTTTAGCTTTCCCCTTCCCGGGTCCAGTACGGGCCGGCGGAGGGTTGGTGGAAGCGGACTGAGGAACGATGGGCGTCGTCACCGAAGGACCAGCGGTGGATCCCGTCTTGGACGTCGATCCCGGTTTGGATACGGCCATAGACCCAGTCTTGGACGTCGTAGACCCAGTCTTGGGTCCGGATCCAGACTTGGACGTAGTGGTAGATCCAGTCTTGGACGCCGAGGTAGACTTGGATCTAGCGGTGGATCCAGACTTGGATCCGGCACCTGACTTCGAGGGAGAAACGGAAGTCTTGGGCGCGGGTGTAGATCCTGCCTTGGACACAGAAGTGGATCCCGCTTGCGGAGCAGATTTAGAAACCGGAGTCGTTTTGGGCTTGGCTTTCGGGGAAGCTCGGGCCTGCTTATGGGGACGGGAGGATCCGGTGCTAGGAGCGGGAGATGTACTACGCGGGCGTTTCGCAGTCGACGAATCCGCCCCACTTACCGTCGGAAGAGGAGCAGAAACGCTAGCAGCCTGAGAGGGCCCCGACAAGGGAGGAAGTGGATCCGAGACGGCAGCTGTCACCAGCGCCAGTCGTCGACGTGCCAAATCGCGCTCCGACAGGCCGCGATCGCGCTCCAGGATCAGCTGTTGCTGCTGAGTTTGGGCTGCGGAAAGTTGATCCTGGAGTTTCGCGGTGGTCGCATCTGCTTTCCTCAATTTGTCACCTAGATTGACAATAACAAGTGAATATGGAGTTACTAGCAAGGGCTAAAAGAGGATCCACGTACTCATGCGGCGAAGCTTGGATTCCAGCTCCGTTAGCGCACGCTCGGCATCCGCCCACTCGGTAGTCGCCTTGTCCCGCTGGAGCTCGCTGTCTGCCAGTTTCGTTTGGATCTCGTCCCGCAATCGAGTCATACGCACGAATTCTTCAAGCGCGTAATCTCGTCCGGCAGACGCCCTCTCGAGCGACTCCTTGGTGTCTTGCAACTCCTCAGAGAGTTGAGCCAGGGCTACATCCGGCGACGAGGGAGGTGGATTTGGCGCGGGGGACCCTCCACGCGCCGACCCTAAGGCGGATCCGTCATGGGCGGATCCCACATAGTCGTTGGTCACCACCTCCTCCTGGGTCAAACGCAACTCGTCACGGAGGCGGTCCAAGCTCACATCCGCAGCTGCCCTAGCAGTCTGGGAATCCTCCAGATCCCGCTCGAGGTCGTGGATCCGGGATTGGAGTTGGTGGATCTCAGATCCGGCGAGTGCCATCTCCCTAAGGAGATGGTCGTTGTCATCTCGCATAACGTCTCGTTGACGGGAGGCGCGATCCAGCCGTCCGGTCAGGTCGCGGATCTCGACCGCCTGATCAGCCAACAGGAGTCGCAGGTTCTGCGACCGAGAAGGCGCACGGTGCTTCCAACCCTGGATCTCCATCGCTTTGTCATGGATTTGGGCCCGCAAAGTCTGAAGTTGGGTAGTGTGTAGAGACGCAGCTTGGTCTTGGGCATCTTGAGCCGTCTGGAGCTCCGCCGTCAGGGTTTGCACCTGATCGGAAAGAGCCTGGGCTAGAACCCGCAGATCGGTGGGCGACATGGAAGACGGACTGACCGGAGGTGTGGTGGATGGGACCTTGCCCGACGATTTGCCGGTACGCTTGGCGGGAGACATGTGTCGCGAAGGGGAGAAAGCGGTTGTGGATGCTGGTGATGCACGTCGTGGACGCTGTTGTGCAGCGCCGACCACGTACAGGAGGCGATTGTGGTGAAGTGCTTTCTCAGAAATAAGAGAATGGTCCTGACGCGGGGTCACTATCCCGAATCAGTGACAATTTCAAGTGATTATAGAGGATTTGGGTTGTTTGGCACGGGTGCAAGTTGCCTGTGGTGGATTAGCCATGGCGAGCAGCACCTCGTATGGAATGACGATGGATCTGATATGAGCGATGTACGAGAAGGCAAGATCCACCAAGACTTACCTCGGATCCACCCTTACCTGGATTCACTAAGATGGATATGGGATATACTATACAAGAGTGGATCGAGTGTGGATCCTATGAAGGAAGGATGGTCGGTGCCCTCTGAAGGTGGATCTAGTAGCCACGGCTAGTGAAGAGTCAAGATCCACCGCGAGGTACCCCGGATCCCATACTTCCGAGTTCGGATCCAAGGAGGGAGGATCCCGCCTGGAGGGACCTGGATCCAGGGTATAGGGATGAGGGATACAGTGGATCTCGAACTTTCGTGGGACAACGGAGATCACAGACGGTTGCGAGATGATGTTGGATGATGGGAGAGCTCGGATCCACGGCGAGTGTACCATTACAGTGAGGTGGATCCAAGCGACCTGGATCCGGATGAGTGTACCCATTATAGGGTGACCATGATGATTACGTCATATATCCGGTGGATCTGAAGATAACACAGCTGGGATGATGGGTCAAGGGAAGAAGGGACATGCAGCCGAGCCTGGTAAGGGATTTAGCAGATGAAAGACATAGAAGGTAGAAACCCAGGCAGGTATAGGCTTAAATATCAATACAGAACTCAATTTGCACAGTATCACGCAAGTGCCTTCCTGCCCTCAAGAACCGGAACTACATTTGGCCGTACGAGCTCGGAGAAGGTTGGGAATTGCGAATCTAGTGTTGGTAGTGATAACTGGATAATACATTGGCCAGATCCTACAACCTAGTGAGCTTTTCCTTTACTCGTGCAGATCCGACAGGTTAACCGAATTTACTACTTGGTCGGTTACACCCTAGAGGCTCTCAACTTTCAAGATCCCGTCACAGGAGGCGGCAAGTACGACTTAAAGGACAACACAAAGGCAAGGGAACACACCCGCAAGGCAACCCTACGGCCAGATCCACGATCTAAGCCCCGGATCCATAAGCTCGAATATTCGCTTAGGATACGGAACCATCCACGGACGCAGAGTGAAGATTTTCCACTGCTGCTCCACCCCATCCCCACGTCTCGCCAAGACACTCAAGCTTCACCACTTGAACTCTTCGGAAGTTACCGAGAGAGCAGATCCCGCCCTACCGACGGGTACACAAGGTGAGGAAAGTTCAGCAGAACACGGATCATCGGGGGACCCCCTCCGTTAGTCGGTGTCTGGGCGCAGTTGGTAAGTTGGATCTGGCAATCTCGCAGATTTTGCTGATCCCGCTACACCACAAAACCGTGCATGGAAACACTCGGATTTCTACCTACTTTAGCTGCATACAATTAAGCCCCTCAACATACAATTAATCCTCTGACTTATAAAAAAGCCAACATGTCATAAACAGAAGCCGAAATGACATGACATAAAAAATAGCCAAAATATCATAAAAAATTCGCCCCCCGAAGTATTCAGACAGCTCTCGTAAGCACAAGAGCCTTTCTAATCAATTCTACTGGTAATAATGTATTTTATATTCAGCTAACCGAAAATAGCGTATATTACGCTGCTCAATTTGATTTCAGTGCTACGCCAGCATCGCTCCCGCCTGGATACACTCGACCTACTACTGGTTTATATAGCTCTGGAGGAACGGGATTATCAACTACGACGCGAGCCCTCGTGTTATTATTGATAATGCTGCGTTTGGCAAGGTAGTTGGGTTGGCTAGTGGTACTTACCCTGCGGCACCTACTACGGTATCATCTGCACAACTCTCAAATACTATTCCTTAGATTCACCCGAGTTCGAGCTATGTTGTACGCTGTGATATCATTAAGAATCAATACGTAGCTTCGGGCGATATTCTAAGCGCTTTTGATAGAGGTGATGCTCAAGTAGGACAAGTGATATCCTACAAACCGAGTCAATATGCTTGGATGAACTGCTTTGACGGATCTAGATCTTCGATCACTATCTCCATGTATAACCAGAATGATCAAAAGGTTAACTTTAGAGACACTTCAGTATCAATAATGCTCCTCCTTAGTCGAAAAATTTAAAGCTCTATATTAAAAAAAATATATGTTTTTTTGTAAAAATAAAAAATAGGGCGTAATTAAATTTAATCGAAAAGAACCAGCTACCATCGGTTTCTTACGCTTAGCACGGAGAGCAGCCATTCGACCCTTTGCTTCTTGAGAACCCTTTATTAGGGGGAGTCAAACTTTGTGTTTTTGCCTGTCATATTTTGGCGTGTACCCATGTCATATTTTGGCAAGATTTCTGTGAAATTTTGGTGCCATGACCTGCCATTTCAAATATCATCTACCTCAAGGGCAGGACGATCCCAGGGATCACATGGCATTTCCAATAATAAAAAACGTGATCCGACAAGGAAATGTTGCCGTCAGTCTTCAATTTGCTCTTGCACCTAACAGAGCTCAGGAGCAGTTTGCACTGGCGGGAGCCGTCATCACAAGTGCTCCTTAGTCACACTCCACAACGTTCTCAACACACTACTTACAGTACGTAAGCCGTGTGTCCTTCCTTCACGTGGATGTCTAACTAATCCGTTTTTTTAAATAAGAATGACGCTTAACAACGAGAACTGCCCGTCCGCAAAGGTGCATCTTTCTAGAGAGGACTACGGCCTGCTCGTTACCTGGATAGAGATACCTGAGAGCTTTGCTGCAGCTCATGGCACCAGCAAGAAGACCATTGTCTCGAGAGGGGCCCAGAAGACAAAGACGCAGGCTTTCAATGAGCTGGCGGCGTATTTAAACACACACACGAATACATATAATCTTCCTACGCTTACGGGAGCAAACGTGCAGCAGCGCTGGCGAGCATACAAGACGAAGAAGTTCCAGCCAACACTAAAAAAGAGCCGCACGGAGACGGGCCTGGGGATGTCCAAGAACGAGATGAGGCAAGGCTTTTTAATCCAAGGCAAGCTGGACAAGTTGTGCCCACACTTCGCGCGTATGGAAAAGCTGTTCGCTACGAAGGCTAATGCTCGAGCTCCAGCAACATTACAACTAGGTTCGATTCAGCAACATGCTACCGGACGAAATGTGTCAGGATCTAAATACGGCGAGGAGGACAAAGAAACCCATTTTGAAGAGATCAACAGTGTTGATAGCGGTGATGACAGCCTCAACTCAAGTGGAAGTGACCCCAACGACCAAAACGACGATCCCGAAGGACCCGCCGCTGGAGCCGCGGTAGCTGATGTTCAAGATGATGATAACGCAGACGAACAAGAACCTTCCGATTACGAACATGAAGCATCAAGCACGAATGCCCGAGCGATTGACCAGACAATTCATTTGAGCCGACCCCACCTGATGGTGCTCTATGGACTACAGGAGAAAAGGATGAGTTACTCTCCGTGCCTTCCACGCTAACTTTACTTGGCAACGTCGCGCTGGACCTCTCCCCACGGCAGCCACAGCAGCGAACAGACGCTCCTGCTATCGGTCAAAGCGGTCCACATCTAGTAGCCTCTATCAGTACGGAGCCAACTGCGCTTCCGGAAGCCTCACCCACGACGGTTTCGACCACTTAGCCCTCTTCCCAGCGCGGTAGATCGCGCTCGAAGCTATCAAAGAGAAAGTCACAAGCCCCAGATACCAACTCTGGCAAAACGAACCCACAGAAGAAGAAGAAACGTTTAAGTTCCGGCAGCTCGGACTCTATCGACACGACAAAAGCCAAAGCAAATGACTGCTCACGAGAGCAGAGCGTCACTATCATTTGCTTATGCAAAAAACGGAGAAGCCAAAATCAATTACATGAAGAAAAAACTGGAGCTGGACGAAAAAATGTGGAAGGAGCAACGAAACGCAAACAAAGTTCAGCAGGAACGTGACCAACAGCTTCGCACTCCAGAACTGAAGGAGCGCCGAGCTGCGCGTCGTCGTGATATGTTTATGTCACTGGTGGCAGCACAGAAGACTCCGGATGAAATCAAGACGCTTATGGACCTCTATCAAACTGGACTGTAGCCGCCACCATCGAACCCATTTCGAAAGCAAGGTGCCTATGACGCTTGTTAGTTTTCAGTTTTTTTAAGTGTTAGTGGTGCATGCGCTCATAAGTATTGCTTACGATAAATTTCATGGGTTACTAGCTAAGTGCCTTCAACTCTCCTACCATAGCAGTGATGAAAAACAGCTAGCCTCTTCTCAGTATTCCACCAGGTGCACGTCCACGAGCGATGGCTTTCGCTTTAATTCGCCGCCGAAAAGTATACGGGTCTTCATCATCACTATCCGAGTTCTCACCAGCTGAATCACTGCCGGAGCTTTCGTCATAACTAGGCCAGTCATCGCCAAACAACAGCACCATGTTGTGCAGTACTACGCAGGCAGAAAGCCACAGTAGCACTCGGTTCATATCTTCGTTCTGCCGTATCGACACTCGTAGCTCCCTAAGTGAAGACCATCGCCCCTTCAGCACATGCTCATTCACCACACGCACATGAGCTACGCACTTGTTGAAATTTTCTTTCTCGCTTCCAAGACTACTCGGTTTGTACGATGGTACAATTGTATTGTGTGTGAAGTCAGCTGGGTACGCAAAGTCGGCTATCTGATACTCCTCAGGACTGAAAAAAGTCGTTTCGCTCTGTCATTTGATAGTTGCATCTCTCGATACACTGTGCTATCTGAGCATGATCCATGCCATCCACTGTAAAACGATATAATCCGGCGGCGATCGTTGCATATTACTTGTGCGATCACAATGCATCTGTGTTTTCGATCAAAGTAACACTCGCCATCCACAGCAGGCTTTTGCGATAACGGGATCGTAGTACCGTCAATAAACTCCACACAGCCAGGAAATCCTTCGGCTTTCATACGACGTGATATTTGCTTTCGGTATGCTGCATCTGGCCACACTACGAACTCGTCACGAAGATCGTTGAGAGCAATAATGACTCGGGATGTGTAAAGAGCGACAGTTCCTTTTCCAACCCCCCACAACTTTCTTGTGCGACCGAGAGAGGCTCCATTCCCGTTAGTTCCTAGTCTGTCAAGTGCAACCGCGAGTTGTAGCCACACAGGAGCTTGAAAATTGTTGCTTAAGTTGCTAAAAATGCTGTGATTCTCAATCGCCGCGAGGATCTTAGAGAATGTGCTGCGCGTAGTCCTTGTCTGCTGCTTGAAGTCCTCATCAGGAAGCCAACGGAAGACGTTGTGCGCGAAATCAATGCTTAAGGGGAGTCGCTCTCTTGGCCAACGACTAGCTGAAGCAATTCTTCTAGCTCTTCAGTAGGAGTCTCTTCGGAGATTCCCAACAATCCGAGCCCCAGGGTGCCAAAGCCGAGGTCTTCGTCGTTCTCCTCTTCTAGTATCAGGACTGCTTTGAGGTCGATTATCTCCATGACGAACTGTTCTCTCTCGCTCGACCTTTGCATGCTTTGCTTAGTGCCGCACTGGCAGTGCGGAATGCAGAGTGATGGTCGACATGTTGCCTTTCCACCCAGGATGTCAAGTTTTCTTGAACCGCAAGACGGGGTTGCCAACGTTGGGGGCGTGATATATTTTGGAGTGTACCCATGTTATATTTGAAACGATTTCCGTCATTATTTGGTGCACCGACCAGTCATATTTTGTCATCCAAAAGTCAAGTTTGACTCCCCCTAATAGTTTTTTCCGCTTTTGAATGCCTACCCCGTAGCGTCGTCTGACTTCCCCTCGTACTTATTTAATAAGCGTTTCATGTTCAGGTTTCGTTACTTCCCTAAGAAGATAGTTTTCCCTGACATCGACTGCATCTGTAAGGACACCCTTGTGTTTTGCATATCTAAGCGCAGACTTAGCTGCTATCTTCACGTCTGCTACGAAAATACGACCTCCTACATCTGGGACTTGCTCATCACTATTGTAAATACCACCTGTCATAGACTTAATTGCTGCTCTGACTGTATAGGGCTCCCAAGGCGGTCGCCAAAGCAGGCACTGCTGCGTTCACTGCTTTCGACAGCCATCCACTGTCTCTCACATATCTAAATGCTGACGATAATCCCGATTTGATTTTGCTCCAGATGGATGAACCTTGAGCTCGCTTGTAGCCTTTCTTGATTTCATGTCGGGTAATTTCGAGTGGCACGCCTCGTCCTGCTTTACGTGATTTCATAGCCTTCTCTAGTTCCATGGACTGAACCTCTGAAATTACCTTACGAACATCACTTCTGCTGTTAATAGCAACAGCTGTGCTGAACACAGAGGTATTACTGAGATTTGTGCGGAAGTATCTCGTATTAGAATCATCTTTTATGCTAACAAGGTCATGACAAAAATACCTTTTCACAGAGGAAAACCGCAAAATCACAGAGATAGCGTCATTTTCACAGAGCACATAGAGCGGGATCTCGCATTCCACATGGTAACGTGCAAAAGTAATCCAACTCTATGTTGGTTAAGAAATATTTTACTTTATCATAAGAGCCATTATAGCCAAAACTTAAAAGTGCAAGAAATGCAAACATGTTACTACCCGCTTGCATAGCTCATTGTTCTAATTTTTTGTGTAACCTATTATCATTCTCGCAATCACATACACGCCAAGCCGCCCAAATCCGCCGGCAGATATGCATTTGCCTTCATTCAAGCCGCACTGCTACTTCTGCCGGCAGAATTGCACGAGCTTAACCCTTCTACACCGGCATTACGGATAATCCGGAATACAATTTATGGAGGTGTTATTATTCCGGGATCTCTGCTTCGCAAAATCTATCATGTTATTTCCGCATATAGGTATTTGTATACATTAACTTTGGCAGGGTAAGCATCGAACCCGTGACATGATTTTTTGCGGGAAAGGGTTTGGGTTACTGTATAAGAATCCACAAGGCCGGGAGCCATCCATTCCAAAATCAGCGGCCTCCCAGACGGACCAACACTCTCCAGATGGAGAAGCCGTTCAAGCAAATTTGGAGAGAGCTGACCAAAAAAGGCTGGAAATCCAGACGGCCGAAGGGATTGAGCGTCGACTACACCTACGTACCACCCGAGGGAGATGCAAAGGGCGTTGAAGGTGTCGACTACTTCGTTGGTACGCTACCGACTTGTATTGCTGCGTTGAAGGTGCCTAACTGTTGCTGTGTATACAAAGGTGAAGTGAGTCTACTACGCTACTGCCGAAGCCAACGATGGCTAAAGGTACCTCCTCTACCAGCTTCAGGGCTTCCTCTCCAGACAGCAGCTTCTCTGGAAAGTGAGCTACTGACTACTGTCCCCATTACAGGAGCCGGATTGGTGACTAATCATGAAGCGACTATTGCTACTTCTACGGTAGCCCCCCCTCCCCCAGGCCCAGACAAACTAACTGCTGCGAGATTGATATCGCTAATGCCGGGAAGACCTCAAATGGCAAACGGAAGGCTAGCTCGACAGGAAGCAATGCATCGAGCAAGCGGCGCCGGACTGGTATGTAATCGCTGTCCTGGTCTGTCTGTTTGTTGCTAACGTATTCACGTATTACGGATTATACAGGCAGCACTGTTCCGGAGAGTAATGCTCCTGTTCCGGATATGACTGGGGCTCTTCAGGATAATGCCTCACGTGCTGTTTCGGATGGATCCGTTGATACTGCTCAATGCTCAAACGATCACTGTGAACGCCCAGCTCCTGCCATTACCCTCGATGACTTGACTCGGATGATTTCTTGGCTGCTCTTCGTCGAGACCGTCTCTTTGACAAAACCGATGATGAAGAACTCTACTTGGAAGAAGGCAACTGGTTGCTATCTCTCGACTCTGATACCGAAAGAGATGAAGATAGCAATTTGTTGGACAAAGACATGTGTGATGTCGATGACGAAGCGTCAACCGGATCTTTCGAGGAAGATGAACTGGACGATGATGTGACTTTGGTTTGGGTAAGGAAGTCTTGGATGATCTGCAACGTGCTGGATGGGACACGTACGATGAACACACAAATGGTCAGCTACGTCTCGATGCTTCGCCGATGTATGAAGGACCCTTTGGACCTACCAAAGCTGCGCTAGCGTATGCAGATAGCCCCCTGGCAATGTTTTCTTCTTTTTTCCGAAAGAATTGTGGAGGAAGATTGCAGAGGAGACGAACAAGTTTCGAGATGAGTGTGTCGAAGAGGTAGCGCTGTCGATGCATGAACGTGCACGTCTGCGCCGTGAGAAGGCTCCGTCTACTGTAGTGCTGTCAGTGGAGGAGTATAGAACCAAGCTACAACGCAAAACCGCCATCCAATTCCATGAGCTCATTCGGTTCATAGGCTTGTTGATCGCCCGTTCACTGGAGCCACGTCGGGAGAGCCTAAGCCGCCATTGGATAACGAAAGTGGAAGGTGCTCTATGTAGAGGGACGTTTGGTCAATTTCTCAGTCGTGATCGCTTTGAAGAGATCACACGGTACATACACTTCAACGACAACTCGCAACAAGCTACCAGCAACGATCGGGCATTCAAGATCCGGCCTGTGATCCAAGCACTCCAGAAGACGTTTTTCCGCGGGTATCGTTTAGGAGCCAAGATCGCGTTCGATGAGGGCATGATCCCCATGAGGCACAGACGAAACCCCATGCGCCAATACATGTCTGCTAAACCGAACAAATGGGGGACGAAGTTTTACTTGACGTGTTGCGCTGAGACTGCGTACTGTTCAAGGTAAGTTGCTTCCTCTTCCGTTTCGTAATATGCTCAGGATGTTATTGAACATATTACGGATTCGGACTAATAACGGATAATACTGACTATGTTATGGATGGTGCGTTGTAGGTTGGATATCTATTGTGGGAAGGCCAACAAAAACGAGAAGAATGTCGCTCAAAAAGCAGTTATCAAGAATCTGACCAAGGCGTTGCGAGGTCAGCCAGCGCGGCGCTTGATTTGCACGGATAACTTCTACACATCTGTCCTGCTTTCGGACAAATTGCTCTCTATGGGATTCTACCATGTGGGCACTATGCGTCGAGACCGGCTGGGGTGGTGCAAGCAGATTGAGTTCACGCAGAAGACAAGA